CAATAAATGGTGCTGGAAAAATTGGGTAGCCATATGCAAAAGAATCTAACTAGACCTGTATATCTCACTATATATAAAAATTAACTCAAGATGTATTAAATACTTAAATATAAAACCTGAAACTATAAAAACTCTAGAAGAAAACCTAAGAAAAACTCTTTCAGACCTTAGCCTAAACAAAGGATTCATGACTAAGACCTCAAAAGTAAATGCAAAAAAATAGAAAAATAAGATTTAATTAAACTAAAATGCTTATGTACAACAAAAGAAATAATCGACAGAATAAACAGATAACCTACAGAATAGGAGAAAATATTTACAAACTATACACCTGACAAAGGACTAAAATCCAGAATCTACAAGAAACTCGAACAACTCATGAGGAACAAAAAACATCAAAAAGTGAGCAAAGGACATGAATGGACATTTTTCAAAAGAAGACAAAATTAGCCAGGAACATATGAAAAGATACTCAACATCACTAATCATCAGATAAATGCAAATTAAAACCACAATGAAATACCATCTTACAGCAGTCAGAATGTGTATTATTAAAAAGTCAAAAAAATGAGAGATGAAAGGAAAGACTTATACACTGTTGGTGGGTATATAAATTAGTACAACCTCTACAGAAAACAGTATGGAGATTTCTTAAAGAGCTAAAAATTGATCTAACATTTGATCCAGCAATCCCATTACTGGATATCTACCCAAAGGAAAACAAGTCATATAAAAAGACATCTTCACTCATATGTTTATCATATCACTGTTCACAATAGCGAAGTAATGGAATTAACCTACGTGTCTATTACACACACACGCACACACACACACACACCCAATGGAATACTACTCAACTACATAAAAGAATAAAATCATGTCTTTTGCAGCAACATGTATAGAGCTGGAGGCCATTATTGTAAGTGAAATAATTAAGAAACAGAAAGTTAAATACCTCATGTTCTCACTTATAAGTAAGATCTAAACAATGAGTACATCTGGACATACATAATGGAGTAATAAGCACTGGAGACACCAAAAAGTGGAAAGGTGGGAGTGGGATGAGGGGTGAAAAATTATCTACTGGGTGCAATATATGCTATTTGTGTGATGGGTGCACTAAAAGCCCATACTTCACCTCTATGCAATATATCCACATAACAAATCTGTACTTGTAACCTCCAAATCTATAAAAATGAGAAAAGAAAAAAAGAACAAGATCCCACTATATGCTATCTATAAGAGACCCACTTTAAACCTAAGGATACACATAGACTAGAAGTAAAAGTAAGCATAGGTGGCTATATTTTTGTCAGACAAAATAGACTTTAAGTAAAAAATGTCAGAAGTGACAAAGAAAAACAATATCTGAAAATAATCTAGTCAATTCGCCAGGGAGATATAACACCTAACATCAGTGCTCTCAAATAGATGAAATAAACATTGACTGAATTTGAGGGAGAAATGGATAGCAATTATAGTAGATTTCAATACTCCATTTTCAATGATGGACAGAGCAACCGAACAGAAGACCAGTAAGGAAACAGAGGACAGAACAACACTATAGATCAAATGGATCAAATAGACATATGCAGAACATTCCACTCAACAACAGCAGAGTACATATTCTTCTTAAGCACATGGAATATTTCCCAAGAAAGACCACAAAACAAGTCTTAATAACTTGAAGAAAATTGAAGTAATATCAAGTATTTTTGCCAACCACAGTGAATAAGACAAGAAATCAATAGCAGAAGAAATAATGGAAAATTCACAAGTACATGGAAATTAATCAGCACACCCATAAACAACTAATGAGTGAAAGAAGAAATCACAAGGAAAATTACAAAATATCTTGAAAAAATGAAAACAAAAACACAACATACCAAACCTTATGGATGCAGCGAAAGCAATACTAACAGAAAAATTAATAGTGGTAAATACCATTAGAAAAGAAGTAAGATCTCAGATCAACAACCTAACTTTATATCTAAAGGAACTAGAAAAACAAGAATAAATTAAACTCAAAGTTAGCAGAAGGAAAGACATAATAAAGATTATGGCAGATTAGAATAAAATAGAGAATAGAAAAATAATAGGAAAAACTTAAAAAACTAAAATTTGATTTTTAAAATATCAACAAAACTGACAAACCCTAAGCTAGACTAACTAAGAGAAAAGAGAAGACTCAAATAACTAAAATCACAAATGAAAGAAGAGACATTATAACTGATGTCACATAAATAAAAAGGATTATGAGAAACTACTATGAAAAATTATATGCCAACATATTGGATAAACTAGAAGAAATGGGTGAACTCCTTGAAACATACAATCTACAAAGGTGGAGTCATGAAGAAATAAAAAACTTGAACAGAACTATAACCGGTAAGGACCACGAATCAGTATTCAAAAACCTCCCAAAAAGAAAGACCAGGACCAAATGGCTTCACTGGAGAATCTACCGAACATTTAAGGAAAAATTAATAATTCTTCCTAACTTCTTCAAAAAAATTGAAGAGACAACACTGCCAAAATTATTTTATAAGGCCAACATTACCTCGATACCAAAGCTAGACAAAGGTACTGTAACAAAGGAAAACTATAGACTAATATACCTGATGAATACAATGTAAAATCCTCAACAAAATACTAGCAAAGTGAATTCAATGGCACATTAAAAGGACTATACACTGTGACAGAGTAGGTTTTATTCCTGGAATCCAAGGGTAGTTCCGCACATGAAAATGAATTAGTGTAATACATCACATTAGTAAAATAAAGGACAAAAACACAAAATTATCCCAATTGATGCAGATAAATATTTGGTAAAATTCAACACCCTTTGGTAATGATTTCTTGAATATGACACCCAAAGTACATGTAAACAAAAGAAAAAAATAGACAAACTTTAAAACTGCTGTACATCAAAGGAAACTTGTGGAATGAGAGAAAATGTTTGCAAATCATATCTATAAGGGGCTAAAATCCCTTATTAGAATATGTAGAGAAGTCCTACAAGTCAACAAAGAAAAGCAACCCATTAAAAAATGGGCCAAGATCTTGAATAGACATTTCTCCAAATATATACAAATGACCAACAAATACGTGAAAAGATGTTCAACACCACTAATCGCTAGAGCATGTAAGTTAAAACTACAATGAGATATTTCATGCTCATTAGGATGATCTTTACCAAAAACCAGCAAGCAACAAATGTTGGTAAGGATGTGGAGAAACTGAAACTCTTGTAGATTGTTGGTGGGAATGTAAAATGGTACAGCTGTTATGGAACATGGCATGAGTTTCCTCAAATAATTAAAAATAGAACTACCATTTGATCCAGCAATTTCACTTCTGGATACATGTCCAAAAGAATAGAAATCAGTGTGTCAAAGAGATACCTGCACACTCATGTTCATTGCAGCATTATTCACAATAGCAAGAGTTGGACGCAACTCAGATATCTAGAGAGATGAATAAAGAAAATGTGAGATATATATATCATATATATATAATGGAATATTATTCAACCTTAAGGAAGAAGAAAATCCTGTCACATGCTACAACGTGAATGAACCTTTAGCATATTGTACTAAGTAACAAAAGCCAATCACAAAAAGACAAACACTGTATGAGTGCATTTATATGAAGCACTTAAACTAGGCAAATTCATAGAAACAGAAGCTAGAATGGTGCTTGCCAGGGGTTGGGGGAGGGGGGATTGGGGAACTGTTGTTCAATTGGTATAGTTTCAGATTTGCAAGATTAAAAAGTTCTGGATATTGGTTACACAGCAATGTGCATAGAGTGAACACCACTGAACTGTGCACTTAAAAGTGGTTAAGGTGGTAAATTTTATATGTGCTTTTAAGAATCACAATTAGAAATAAAAAAAATAAAAATAAGAAATGCTTAGGATGCAAGGGAGGGAAGTATTCCTGAAGCACTGATAGCCATGAAGATACAGTAATTAATTTGCTTGCAATCATCTTGTCCAGATTTCCTGTGTCCTAGTATAACCTCAGTCTCAGGCACACTATATGAAAACCAGAGCACTTAAAGAACAGTGTGAATATAATAAAGATATTCTGCTGAAGAAAATAGTGTAATGCTATCCCCACATGGGAATCTCATTGCCTTTAAAGTGAAGCACATTACCAATATGTAATCTTGTGGGTTTTTTTTCTCTTGACTCCAACAAATTTCCCAGATCGTTCTCATTGATACTTCCTTCAAAATATTTTTGTGACTTCTGTCTTTACTTCTTTTCCTGTCACAGTTCAGATTCATTCCCTATGCACAGGAGAGCTTGCTATTGGTTTCTCTTCTTCTGGGTTCCCACCCTTAATCAGCCCTGCTTGCAGTTGGGGCATTTCATGTCAAAGAAAATTTGAACATGTAACAGGTATTTTTTTCTTTCAATTTTTAAGTGGTTTACTGGAAATTAAAGTTCTTTTTTTTTTTTTAAGTTGGAAAACCGTTTAATGATCACTCACTAAAATCCACAGGAGAACCCTAAAAGCTTACAAGCACAAATTATTCTACTACTGCTGCCATCACCATGTCCTTCCTGGTAGAGTATCACAAGTTAAAAGTTTCTGGTGGTTTCATCTACTTAAAACCAGACATAAAAAAGAACCTGTCTTAGCAACTTTAGGCTTCAATGTGAAACCATCAAAGCCCTCTTGGAAAGGTTTTCTGTCTCTGAAAGAAGCTCTCCTGTCCAGAAGATGCTTAAGGCCTATGTACCTTTCTTTCAGCTAGCCAAGAGATGAATATCTCAAAATGCCCTCAGAGATCCCAAAATTAGTGAAAATAAATATGAAACAGGCTGCATGCCTTCTAGATGTGCAAATATTAGAGTTCTGAGAAAGACATTAAAATGTTTATGGAATCCTTGGAGTATTGAGATACTAAAGCACTAGTGCAGAAAGTCTCATTTAATAGGAAGTCTGGAACCAGCACTTTTGTCAGTAATAGGCCTTTCTAGACTTTGCCTAGAAGAAGATAATTTTTTTGTGCTTTGAGTTGGGGATTTGTCCCTTTGACTTTAACCTTCGGACAGCCTCCCTCATGTGTTTGGGTTGTATTGGTGGCATTTCTCCCCACTTCTCATACACATCCAGTGCTTCTTCTACTACTTCCCCGATGAAAACCTTGGAAGTGCCAGACATAGCAATAACAACATTCTGAGACACAGAGGTGCCAGTGATGGACTGGATCAGCCTTTTAATGGCTGCCTAGGGAAAGCTGACCGGCGATACATTTCATAACTGTTCAGCTGCTCCTCAGAAAAACAAGAAACCAGGATTTTCATTTTCTGAATCTCATCTTCATCCACTTTCTGCTTATTTTCTTTCTTTTCTTTGGTATCTATTTTCAGTTTTTTGGCTGCAGGAGTAAGTAATGATGAGTCTTCTCTTTCAACTGCTGTTAAATCTGAGACATCCTGACTCTTGAGCTCGCCTTCCTCCACTGCAACTTCTTTCAAGGCCCCTTCTCCGTCTCCATCCGTTTCCTGTGGGATCCCGTCCGTATCGGTAGCCCCCGGGTCCTCGGGAACAGTGACCGTTTCATCTGGCTCTCCTGTCTCTCCACCTTTGTCCGTGGGCGACTCTCGGGGATTGTCCATGTCGGACAGGATAGGCTGGGAGAAGGGATTACAGCGATGTCAGATGCGCAAGCTCCGGAAATTAAAGTTCTTAAAGTCTTTTGTGAGCTCTTGAATTTGTTCATCACTCTTAATTTTCTAAATTTTCTTTCATTCTCTAGTGCAGTGTACCCAGTTGAAAGGATATCTGAAAGTATATTATCTCTCCATTGATTTATTTTTGTAACGCACACACTTTGTATTCTCTTCTTCAGGACTTCTGCACCCCCTTCTACCAATTGTAACAATAAAACATATCTCCAGATATTGCTGAATGTCTCCTGAGGGCCAAGTTTCCCTTGGTTGAGTACTACTGGTGTAAATAATGCCCAAATTTCAAGATCTTTTTCGAAGTGGTCTTCATATTCAATCCCTAACCATTGCTTACCTTGTTCTCTCTGCCTTGAGCACTTTTCCTATTTTCTCTACTTGTGTGAACGTCCAGCATACTGAGATGGGCCAGACCACAAAGGCAGATCCAGATTCCAACACTGGTGAATACAATGAGCGCAGTTAAAATAGCCTCTTTAAAAAAATTATCCTTATCACAACATAACTGACCCTCTTAGGCCTTAATTTCAATGTCATCAGATTTGTGAAATTTCTGGAACAGCAGGCCTAGACATGCCTTCCTCCAGCACTGAAAACTCTCCACTCTTGACGTTGCTTTAATGTTCTCATTGTCAGGCAGCAATTCTGTGCTTGCCAAATCCACAGCATTTTCTTTCTTTAATATTCGCCTCAGCCCATCTCCCACCCTCCTCACCTCCACCTAAATTTTAATGTCCTTGGGGTCAGGAGCTGTATCTTACTGCCCTGTTTAATTGCCTATAATTTTTTTCCATAGAGTAGTAATTGAATAAGTACTTTTCAAATTGTAAAAAAGGGGAACATATAATAAAGCACCAATTATTTAGAATGAGTTAAAACACTGTATTGTTTGCCTGTCACACTTAATACCCTCTCTCAATCAGTAACACGAGTGATCACATTGACCTTAGAGACAGAGTTGAGGCTCTCAAATGGGTTAGTGTGGATTAGTGTAGCATGTTTACCCACCCAGTGGTCTGTACTCTGTAGACTCTGGGAAATCTGGTCAAGTAAACCCCAAATAAGCAGATCTATTCCCATGTGCGATCAGGAAGCACTGTCTAGGTTCCTAACATGATTGTTAAGGGCTTTTAATTCAGAGATTATCTTTCAGAGAGTCTAAAATGTGTTTATCAGCAAATATGAATAAAATTAATTGACTTTAAGACCATGTTTTTGTACTGGTAATCTCTTCTTGAGCAGTGGTAAGGGAAGCTTTTGGCATTCAAGAGCTCTTTGCATCCACAATTATAGCAATGCTAGCTTCCTATCAAGGATTTTTTTAAAAAACAAGGAGCTATAAGCAGCTTATAAGGAAAAGTTTAGAAATTCCAAATGGAAGTAAAGATTTTTAATAAAGAAAAACTGACAGGAGAGACAAGATGGCTGACCAGAGGCACCAGCTGCCAGATCATCTCAGAAAGAAGGAAAAGTTTTAGGTGAAAAACAAAGAAAGAAACAAACAAACAATCAGAGTTCGGGTATGATTCCAAGAGAACAGTGCCAGAATCTACCAGAGATTCCACAGGAAGAATTTGCAGAGCAGAACAAGAAGGAGCAAGAAAGATATCAGCAGAGATCAACCCCCAAGAGGCTTGGAGTCCAGTGAAAAGGGTAGGTGGAGTGGCTTGTTCATCCTTCCTTCATATTTCTGGCAGTCAGCAGGCTCCCAAGTGGCTGGAGAGACTTTCTACCCTCATAAGCCCCCAAACTGCTGCTATCAGTGAACTGGGAGCTTCTTGAGAAAAAAGCACCATGCTGCCAGCCTTCACATCACCACAGACCTGAGCTGAGATGGCAGGCACCGTATTGCTTCTCCACTCACCAAGCATCTTTGTCCTCCCCATGTGGTGTCAGCCCCTCAGTTTTCATCTTGCTCATTCCCACATAAACATTTTCCAACTGTGGCCCAGATTGTGGGAGCCATAGGAGGCTGGTGGGTGCCAAGGAATCTGTGTGACCCTGGAGCCTAAACATTCCGGGTGGGCTACCTTCCAGGGAGAGAGGGACAGAGATGACCAGAGTGCTAACTTTCCTCCATTCAGACCCTTTTCTTCCTGATTCCCTCCCTTGCCTGTGGCTGCCATGAGAGATGCTCGAGCCATAGCTCTTAGGAGCTGCTGCTTCCCCTCTGTTGGAGTTTCCACAGAGAGTGGGGTTCATACCTTTCCTCTTAAAGACCTGCAGAGGACCAAGGGGTGCTCAGACTGTGAGATCCCTGCTCACCAGCCCTCACTGGTGCTGCTTGCCTGGCTGCTCCATTATAACAAGGCACACTCCAAAGCAGAGGGACATCAAACCTGCTTCAACACTCCATAAGCAAAATCAGGACCAGCATGCTTCTCTTTAGCACAGCTAAAGATTGATCTTCAGGACCCAGAGACAGGTCTGCAGGCCAGATACCATTCCTCCAAGACTTGATCATGTTGCTTAGGGCACAGAGGGGAGATTTGTGAACTAATCTTGAGAGGCAAGGGAGCCCATGAGTGCCGAACTGAAAAGAAAGTGCATTGTGGGTCCCAGCAGCTGCACACTCACATAGCACCCCTCCCCTCACAGGAAGGCTGTACTCTTAGACTAGGGCAGGATCCTGAACAAGAAATCTCCAGCCCACAGCACCATCATGGGGGAGCTCAGCTAGTTTGAGATCCTGCCTACTGGCACATTGCTGGAGGGAGACTGTGGTGAAGGGGAGTGGGGAGAAGAGTGAAACCTAATCACAACAGCCATATTTTGGATCTCAGACAGCCCTGCTCCTATGAGCAGTCTTTCTGATGGGGTGGGGCCACTTCAACCCCTCCATGGCAGATTTCCTCAGAAGCCTGGAAGTGGACCATTTATCCCCACTGATACAGCTACCATGGAGCCTAATGGTAGGCCTACCCAACCCAGTCCCACCCAGCCTCACCCCCTCATGTGCTTCTGCTGTGGCAGAAAATAAGGACCCACTTGGAAGTTCCAGGGCCCCACCCATTACCTGGGAAACTTGAGTGCTTCTCTTGTGCTAGAGCGCATCACAGATACTAAAAACAACACTGTAGCTTTTTTCTTCTGGCAAGTATCATCTATTGACAGGGAGATCAATTTGCACAGCTCTTTACAGCATTTATTGACTCAATCATACAGGGTGTGGTTAATTCTTATCCACAAGCACCACCTACTATCTTAGAAATTAAACTGGCTGTTCCAGTACAATCCACAGGGCTGGTGAAAGAGAAAGAATCTCAAATACCTCCATCCTCCCTCATCAAAAGGAGACAGGAAATCTTCCCCCACACATAGCTTATCACTGCTACAGCCTACAAACAACTATAAATTGAGAAAACCACTATACTAAAGATATCTATAACCAAGGAATCCATCCATAACCTAGACCCCCATCAAATCATCAACAAGCAAATCCAAAGGTTCTTATCCAATATATGCTGTAGACACTCCCTTATAGGTAAGGGGAGAAGGAAAAAAAAGGTCCACTTAAAAAAAATAAAATCCAAAACTAAGAAGTAGCAGCTGCATCAGATGAGAAGAAATCAGCAAAACAACTGAAAAATCAAAGCAAAAAGGACACCCCTAAAAGAGAACACTAACTCTCTAGCAATGGACCAACCAAAATAAAAATGTTGAAATGACATATAAGGAATTCTAAATATGGATTGTAAAGAAGCTCAATGAAACCCAAGAGAAAATAAACAGCTCAAAGAAACCAGAAAAATAATTCAGGAAGTGAATGAAAACTTCATAAAAGAGATCAACATATTAAAAAATTAGAACTTTTGGAAATGAAAACCTCATTCAAGTAAAGACAAAACACAGTGGAAAGTTTTAAGAATAGACTAGACCAGGCAGAAGAAAGAATCTCAGAGTTTGACGATAACTCTTTCAAATTAACTCAGTCAGCCAAAAATAAAGAACAGAGAATTAAGAGGAAAGAAAAAAACCTACAAGAAATATGAGATTATGTAAAATGGCCAAATATAAGAATCACAGGCATCCCTGTGATGAGAAATGAGGTGAATAAGAAAATGTACAAGGACTGGAAAATACATTTGATGGAATAATTTAGGAAAACTTCCCTGGTCTTGCTAGAGATTTAGACATCCAAATACAAGAAGCTCAATGAACACCTAAGAGATTCATTGGAAAGAGTCAGTAGTCATCAGACTGGCCAAAGTCAGCACAAAGAAGGAATTCCTGTGAGCCATGAAGTGAAAACATCAAGTAACTTACAAAGGAAAACCCATTAGGCTAACTGCAGATTTTTCAACTAAGACCTTACAAGCCAGAAGGGATTGAGGTCCAATCTTCAGTCTTCATAAGCAGAACTGCTAGCCCAGAATTTTGTATCCTGCAAAACTAAATTTCATATATGAAGAAGAAATAAAGAATATTCCAGACAAGCAAACACTAAGGGAATTTATCAAGACCAGACCTGCACAGCAGGAAATATTCAGATCTGCACTATACATCAACCAGCACAATAGTCACCCACCAGCGTAAAACAACACAACAGCTGTAGCTCAGAGCTCATATAAAGCTATGACACAAGAGGAAAAACAAAGCAATAAGATACTACCAAACAGGACAAACAGAAGTGCATCCCACGTATCAATTCTATGAATCAACATGAATGATCTGAATGCTCCACTCAAGAGACACATGCTGGCTGAATGGATGAAAAAATACAACCCAAGAATCTACTGTCTTTAGGAAACACATCTAACCCACAAGGACTCATAGAAACTCAAAGTAAAGGGATGAAAAAAATACTTCATGTAAATGGAAACCAAAAGAAAGTAGATATATACAGTTATAGTAGATATATATAGTAGATATATATAGTTATATATCTACTTTCTTTTCTAATTGACACCTATCATATCAGATAAAATTGACTCCAAATCAACAATAGTAAAGAAAGAAAAAGATGGTCATTATATAATGGTAAA